TTTAGCAAGCTTATTTAAAACTTTTGAAAGCCTTCTATTGTATTATCTTTATTCTTTTTTCATAGGACCCTTACCTTGTTTTAATGGATGTTAAATCTATCAAAACTGGATCTCGATCAGTGAGACCTTCCTTGAGCACCCTGTACGAGTCAGCCGTCTTCCCCGCTAGTCCCTTCACTGCCAGGGCTCTCTGCACTCCAGGGCCTTTGCACATTCTGTTTACTCTTTCTTAGCCTTCCATTTTCCCTTTTATTTATTTGAAGTATTTTGAGGTAATTTATTTATGCTTATCAAGTAAAGCATATCAAGCATATGCTTATCAAGTAATTTGATATTCAGATGTTGCTCAGAAAGGTCCATAGAAGAGTTAATTTGGGAGTCATCAGTATGTAGGTGGTACTTAAGATTATGGGGTTGAGTGGAATCACCGGGAAAATATTTGTAATAAAAGAAGAAAAATGGTGCAGGACTTAGACCTGAGGAATTCTAATATGTGGAGAGTGGGGAGAGGAGGAGGCACACGCGCAGGAGATAGACAGAGGGTAGCTGCTGAGTTAAGAGAAAAACCGAGTCAATGTGACGTCAGAGGCATGTTTGAAAAAGGAAGAAATTGTTCTAACTCTGCCGAGAGGACTGGGAATGCGCAGTGTGCTAGACCGCGTGGAGGCCACTGACGGCCTCAGCAGGCAGTGCTGTGGCTGAGTAATGGGAGTGGGCAGAGCAGCGAGTGAGAGCGGAAGAAGTGAAGACAACCAGTGGACGTAACTCTGGGGGGGATTCTGCTCATTCTGTTTCTCAGTCTAAACTATTAGGATATTTTTATTATCCTAATTATGTGTTTTATAATGTATTTTCCTAATATCCTAAACTCTTAGAATATTTTTTTATTATCCTGTTATTATGAGGAGGAAGAGAGAAATCAGGTATTAGCTAGAAGGAGATGTGGATTCTAGGGTTTTTGTGTGTGTGTTTTTTTAATTGGAGGGAATTAATCTTGTTTAAATGCCAATCAGAAGGATACAGTGGAAAGGGAATGATATTTCAACAAGTCACAAATATTTTGGGGGCACTGAGGATACTGACTAGAGCTAAATGGATGTGTTAGAGAGCAAAAAAACCCCCAAAACGAGTACGGTTGTGGGTATGTTGTTTAGAGATTGTGTGTTAGCTTGAAAGCCAAGGGAAGAAATTTGACATTGGTGCAGCAGATGAGAAGAAATACTTACACGTTCTTGAACAGAAAAATGAATGAGTTATCTAAGGGATTGGATCCATAATATCTCAAAGGTGGGAGAAGCTAGAATCAAGAAAACTGGTGGGAGTGTTTCAGAAATTTAGACAGAGGATCTGGACTAGATTTATAGTGAAAGGAAGAGAAAAATATGGAATCATTTCCAAAAACAGTTAATAGGTTTTAGTAACTGACTGGTTAGTTACTAAAAGAAAGGGGAAAGGAAGATTTAAATATGTTTTTAAGGTTCCTTGAATGGGGAAACCTGAAAAATGATTAGTGCCACTGTCAGACATGAATTCAAAGAATGGCAGGAAGAGGGATGCTCAGTAAAGTTAGCTGCCACTGAAAAGTTGAGAAGGCTGAAGATTAAGGGGAGGGGGCAATTAGATTTGACCATAAAGAAATTATTGGAACTTTTTGAGAGAAAAAAATACGCAGAGTAATAATTTAAAAATATCCTAATAGTTTAGACTCTTAGAAATAGAATGAGTGAGTTCTTGTGTGTTAAGGAGGCAAGGCAGCAATTGTATGGTATGTGAAGACAGTGGCCTTTCATTTGTCTCCCACCTGTCTCTCCCACAGAGTGAGTCCTCCATGAATTCTTGTTGAATAAATGAAAGGTTGGTAATTTATTTCAGGAAGTCACGCTACGTCAGTGTTTGTTAGAAGACCTATCAAAGAACAACCTTAGTAGTTTATTCTTTGGGTAAAATGAGGACATTACAAAGGGACTGAAAATATTTTATTTCAGCTCATAAAAATCACTGCTTAAAACAGTCACCTGATTTATGGTTGAAATGATCATGCTGTTATTTTGAATGTGCTTTTTGTTCTATGAAAAGATTTCAGTGAGGCTGCTGAGCCCACAGTATTTGAATGAGACTGAGGGTAGAAGCCGCTGATTGATTACCTCGTAAGCTGTAGCACTGCTACCACTTCTTACCCGCCAGTGCCCATGACCAGGTGTGTCTGGGTGGCAGCCTTGGGCACAAAATGGGGGAGTGAGCAGCCAAGCACCAACCTTAGTTTGGCCTGATGATGAATTTTAACAACTCTCTAAACCTTGCCTCTGCTAATTGCAGTTTCTGAAGTTACATATGCAAAGATGGGAAAAACGTTTTAGCAAATCTAAAACTGTTATACTGAGGACTCTTTTTAAGTGATGATGAAACAGCCAAAACAGAAAAAAGAACAGATATAGTAAAAAAATTCTACTGGATTATGTGTTTTATAATCCACAATGCATATGTTTCATAAATGTATTTTGGTTTGTTGTAAAAAATAATTCCTAGTAGTTTAAATAAGGCTTAAATAACACCTAAGTGGAGAACAAACTAAAATTTGGCAGCAAAGGAAGGAGTTAAACTATAGCTGGAAATGGTGACTGAGTTAATTTACTCTCTTATTTTAGTTCTTCTCATTGTCAAAACCAACAAGTAATTGAAAAGGCCTGGCCAGCATGGCTCAGTGGTTGAGCATCGACCTAGGATCCAGGAGATCGAGGCTTGATTCCCGATCAGGGCACATGCCAGGATGGCGGGCTCCATCCCCATCTGGGGCGTGCAGGAGGCAACTGATCCGTGATTCTCATCATTGATGTTTCTCTCTCTCTTTCCTCTCCCTTCCTCTCTCTGAAATCAATAAAGACATATTAAAAGAATTGAAAAGAGCCTTAGTTTTAGTAGCATTATTAGGAATGGCAAGAGCATCTGTGCTCATCAGTCCTGGACTCTCAGTTTTACCTGGTCTGGCTATACTTACAGTGAAACTTTATCTTTCATTTTTCATTAAGGTCCTGGCCAAAATTACTTCACTTTAGGGGACTGGTGTTACTAAAACATTTTATTGCTGAGTGATTTTAATCTTCATTTAACAAGAATAATTAGCCCTGGCTGGGTGACTTGGTTGGTTGGAACATCATCCCATATGTTAAAAGGTTGTGGGTTCAATTTCCGGTCAGGGCACATACCTAGGTTGCGGGTTCGATCCCTGGTCGGGATACATACGAGAGGCAGCTGATCAATGTTTCTCTCTCACATAGGTCTCACGTTCTCTCCCCCCGAAACACTCCCTCTCCCTCCCTCCTTCCTTCCCTCCCTTCCCCTCTCTCTCTCTCTCTCTCTCTCTCTCTCTCTCTTTCTCAAATCAATAAACATATCCTCAGGTGAGGATTAAAAAAATAAAAAAGAATAATTAAATACATTTTGTTGTTGTATATCTAGTATGATGCAAGCGAGGCATCTGGACACCTGAAAGCATTAACTGCATATTGTAGTACTCTTAGCTTTCAAGTAACTTAATTTGAAAAGTTACTATAAAAACTATAGTTTTCCTGTATATTAATATGGCACTTTAACCTTTATTATGTCAAAGTTTTAAAAGCACTCAACTGTCAGAGAGTTAGCAACGAATGCTGTCATCACCTGAGATTTCAAGATGTTTAGGTACGCAGTAGCTCACATCTGAGTAAGTGTAGGTGGTGGGTTTAGAGCTACTGTGCCACGATGGGTTCTGCTTCTGCCTGAGCAGACTGGAGCTGCTGCCAGTCTGTGGCTGCATCCCCTTGCCCAGGCTTTTCTATACTGAAGAGGCCTAGAGATTGGTGACCTCCAATCCAAGGAGCATGCTTGCATAAGTTACAGCAATCAGCCCGGACATCAAATGATCTTTGAGTTTATAAAACAGGTCCTGATTTTTCATTTACATTTTAACCTCTAAGGTGGGTTTCATTTCTAGATCATAGGAAGAGTGATGTCTGGGGTTTCACCACTACAGTTTTTTCAACATTGCCTGTAATGATAGTATAAATGAAAGTTTTAAATACAGTATGGATGAAATTTTTGAAACGATTATAGGTGAAAATAAAACATAATTCCTTACATTTTCCATTATAAGTATTCTAAATTCCATATCATTTCCATATTATATAAACCCCTTTAACATTTACAGGTGTACCTTAGATAGATGTAATATGCCCCATTCCACGTGTTCTTGTTTATCTATGGGTACAGATGAGCACACCATTTCCATTTATGTTAAAAGCAGTAGGTCATTGGATCAGATCAGTCTCTCATAGGATTGTTTGTATCTTTTGATTTCTTAATTTGTGCTCAGTCTAAATATGTTGATGGATTTTTAAGTATTGGGAATTCATGTGAAATTTTATTTTGTCAAAAGGTTGTTATTCATTTGTCAAGGTTATTAGTTCAGATGTATTAAGTTGCAAGTTACAGAAAATCCAATTCAAGGTGACTTCTGAAGGGCATTTGTTGGGTCATGTGATTGGAAGGCCAGCAGTAGGCCAAGCCTGAGGGTCAGTTGATTTAGCAAATCCACAATGTTACTAAGATTTGATTTTCTTCTTTTTACTCTGCTTCTCACCTTCTCGTGATGATAGGATGGTTGCCAACCAGACCCAGACTTAAATGACTTCTCCTTATGTCCAGTAATCTTTTAGAAGCTCACCCAGAAAACCTTTCCTTGTTTCACTGACCTTAGTTGAGGAGTGTGCCCATGCCTTGAACCACCCACTGTGGCTGGGGATGGGATTATGTTGAGTGGCTCCGGCTTGGAGTCAGCTTCCCTTCAGTGGAGGGCTGTGGGAGGAGGTACAGACACCCATTAGAACAGGGTAGTTACCTGGAGGGGGAGGGAGTGGATGAAGGGTGACAGCTTCCCGTGTGCTCTGCCGTGCAAGTTGAAGTCACTTGGGCTTTGTTTATAAGAGCGCTTGCTTTGTTTCATTGGTTTCTTCTTTTGTCTTTAGGGGCTGTGACGACAACCAAACGGACAGGCATTCCAGCTCCTCGAGAACTTTCGGTAACTGTCTCAAGAGAGAGAACTGTGCCACGTGGTCCCTCCAACCCAAAGAAATCTGTGTCCAGTCCAACTTCTTCCAGCACCCCCACCCCCACCAAGCACCTGAGGTCCACTTCCACGAGACCCAAGCAAGAGAATGAAGGCGGAGAAAAGGCCGTGCTCGAGTCTCAAGTTCGGGAACTTTTGGCAGAAGCCAAAGCAAAAGATAGTGAAATCAACAGGCTTCGAAGTGAACTAAAGAAATGCAGGGAGAAAAGGGCTGTGAACACCGAAGGGACCGATGCCTTGGACCCAAAGGGAGATGGCACATTAGTCTCACCAGGTGACTCGGAACCTCTGATAAGAGCTCTTGAGGAGAAGAACAGGAATTTTCAGAAAAAGCTTGCTGAGCTAGAGGAAGAAAACCGGGCCTTGAAGGAGAGACTGAGTTACTTTGAGCATTCACCAAATTCAGAAGGGGGATCCAGTCACACCGGTGACAGCAGCTGTCCAACATCCATCACCCAAGAGTCAAGCTTTGGAAGCCCGACTGGAAATCAGTTGTCAGGTGAAATCGATGAGTATAAAAAAAACATACCTAAAAATGTATTACGGACGTCTGGCTCCTCAAGTAGCGACGTTACCAAAGCTTCTTTGTCACCGGATGCCTCCGATTTTGAGCACATCACAGCAGACACCCCCTCTCGGCCCCTGTCTTCCACTAGCAACCCCTTTAAGAGTTCAAAGTGTTCCACCACTGGGAGTTCCCCTAACAATGCGAGTGAGCTGTCCCTGGCTTCCCTCACGGAGAAGATACAAAAGATGGAAGAAAATCACCATAGCACAGCGGAAGAACTGCAGGCTACTTTACAAGAATTATCAGACCAGCAACAGATGGTGCAGGAATTGACCGTGGAAAATGAGAAGCTGGTGGACGAGAAGACAATTTTGGAAACTTCCTTTCATCAGCATCGAGAGAGGGCAGAGCAGCTGAGTCAAGAAAATGAGAAGCTGATAAACCTCTTACAGGAGCGAGTGAAGAAGGAAGAGCCTGGCACTCAAGAAGGGAAAGTCCTAGAACTAGAGCAGAAGTGCACAGAAATCCTTGAACAGGGCCGCTTCGAAAGGGAGAAGCTGCTCAACATCCAGCAGCAGCTGACCTGCAGCTTACGGAAGGTCGAGGAAGAAAATCAAGGGGCTGTAGAAATGATTAAACAGCTGAAGGAAGAAAACGAGAAGCTGAGTGGGTTTCTGGACCTGGAACGGCATAGCAGCAGCGTGATGGCCCAAACTCTGCAAGAGTGCACCGTTACCTTGGAAGGGCTGAGGGCTGAAAATGGGTCTTTGAAGGCTTGTTTGGAGAGCGAGAAGCAAAAAGCTGTAGAGACCAGTCCCGTGGGGCAGACCGCAGAGGGCTGTGAAATTCAAGAAATGTTGAAAGTAGCTCGAGCTGAGAAAGATCAGCTGGAACTGTCTTGCACTGAGCTCAAACAAGAATTACTAAAGGCACATGGTGAAATCCAACATGTGTCAAGCCTCTTAGCCAAGGTAAGGAGATATCTCTTCATCAGTGTTCGCACATCCTTAACATTTCCCTCCTTGATCTTTAAATTCACAGAACATGGAGCATCTTTTGCATAGTCCATTTCATTCTGTTCAGTTCCAGACCCACTGAAGATACAAAAATGAAACACCCCCAGTGTCTGACTACAGTTCAAAGTGTCGTGGGAATGTAGTGAATTCAATCAATGACTATGATGGCGGGATGAAGGGTATCAGGGGACAGCCCAGAGTCTTGTGCCAAGGAGGAACATCTAGGCTGTGTGGGATAACCCAGGGTAGTGCAGGAGGACTTCTTGAAGAAAGTGACAGTAAGCTGAGTCTTGAAGAATGAGGGAGAGTTACCCAGGTTTATCAGTTACCATGCTTTGGGCTGTGAGTAACAGAAAATGAAAATCACTCCAAATTTTCCCACCAAGTAATCATATAACCACTATTTTGGTGTTTTCTTGCAGGTATGTGTGTGTGCGTGTTCCACAAGTTAAAAAAACTTTTTAGAATCATCCTGTACACATTCTTAACTTTTAACAATGTAATATTTTCTGAGCATGTTCTCATTATTTGAAACATGATTTTAAAGACTGGATAGTACTCTATTATACAAATATTTCATATGTACCTTACTGAGTGCCTATTGTTGAACATTTATGTTCTTTTCCAGACTTTCAATACTGTAAATATTTTTATGTCTCATTATTTCCTTAGGAAATTCCTGGACATTGACTTGTTGTTTCAGAGTATTTTAAAGACTTTCAATATGTTCAGCCAGATTGCCCTACAGAAACATGACCCCAGTTTGATCCTCGCTGCAGATCATGAGAGGGCTTGTTCCCCTGAACCTTGTCAACAGTTGACATCAACTTGTTGGATCATTCAGATCTGGTTTTCATTTCCTCTTTTTCCCTTACCTGTTCTGCTTGGAAAGACCTCCCCCCAACCCAAGATCAAGTTAAATGATCACTTCTTTCATTTAAAAAATAATCCTTTAATTAGTCTGGAACTTTGTTATATAACGAAGATTGCAGGTGGTTATATAATATTCTGCCCTCTCACAGAGCAGTGCTGGAAAGTTACAGACAGGTGGCTTCCTGTTTCCCATTTCCTCTGAGCTCTGGGTCTGTGATTTAGGGGTTCCTTGGTGAGTGAGGTTGAAAACATCTCAGCTATTTCAGGGGTTGTGACTGTTTTTAAGAAACAAGTTATGCCATGAGCTTCCAGGAGGATTTTTCTCTACTGCTTCATCTGCCTTAAGATTAGTTAGTTGCAACCTGATTCTGGTACTAGGCTGTGTGATGATCTGAGTAGTGAAGAGAGTTGGGAGTTTTATCATTGTCTGTGTCCTAAATTCACAGCATTTTGCGGAAGCAGTTTCACTGAAGGTACTAGCCAGGTGCCCATTTGAACTGCAGGTTGGAAATTTTAGCTTTACATTAAGTTGTAATGTCTGGAATAGTCCCCCTCCCATTACTCTGTTGCAAAATTTGAATCTTCCAGGCAACCTTTCTGAAGTCCTCCCTCAGTCTCTCATCTATTTTTTGCATTTTCTATTGGTATTACATTAAATGCATGTGTCAGTAAGAAATAAATTGGCGTCTTAAAACAATGGCTTATTTTTTTCTGATCATAAAACTGTATATTTATTACTGATCATTCAGTAATTGCAGGAACTGCTCTATACATACTGTAAGTTACAACAGTTTAGATTTACTATGTGCCTCATTTATTGTGTCTGAACCTCTCAGCATAAAATGCTCAAAAAATTGTGAGGACTTTCTCAGGCAGGCAGTTGCTTCTTTAAGGAAATGGTTTTGCCTTATCCTTGGAGATGCAGTTTAATGATAATTTTACAGATGAAAAGATGGTAAGAATTTGGAAAAGGAAGTCATTAGGTGAATGAATGGATATAGAAAAAGAAAATACAGCATATTTTATAAATACGATTTTTCTTTTAGTAATGGGAGAATTTTAATTTATGTGCCAGTAGGTAAAATGTTCCACATTTCTGCTCTCATCAGGCCAAACCAGGGTTAGCCACTGGCCACAAATGACAAAATCAGAATTTGAAATGATTCTGTAGACATGATTGCAGAATAGGCTCCTCCGTGAAGGACTGAGACCTTGGAACCTGGCTTAAATAACAGGTGGTCCATGAGGATGCCCAGGTGATGCTTTGGACTGAAAGAAACAGAAACCCCCTAGTGCCAGTGGCGTAAGCAAACAGGTGTTCCCTTTGCTCACATAGTCAGAAGTCCAGGAGGTAGGCAGTTGGTAGCTGTGGTACAGGGGCTCTATGATGGCAAGACCCAGCTCTGATTCTCTTGGCCTTCCTGCCAAGGGTTCAGGGGAGCACAGCATCTTCAGCATATCGCCCTCACAGTTGTGGCATGCAGAAGGCTCGGTAGGTTGCCAAGCACCTCAGTTTTATCAGGAGAATATTTTTCCCCAGGAGCCTCCTCAGCAGCTCCTTTTATATGTGGTCAGAACTGGGTCACACTCCCTCCCCCAGCCACCCTCCTTGAAATCATAAGATCACATCCCGACTCTTGGACAAAATTGGGATTCTTTGTAAGAAAAAAGGGAGAATGGATTTTGGGAAGGGAAGGGCACCATTTGCCACTGCCTCCAACACTCCCTCCCATATTCATCGCCCCCCACCCCCGGTTCGTTCTCCACAAAGCGCTCACAGAGATCTAAGTGTATATCGCCTGCAACAGTTGCCCTTTACACACGAAGCCCCGTGGCTGCCTTCTGCTTACACCTCCAGCCGTGGTCCCAGCACCACCCTCCCCACCTAGGCCTGGTCATGCCGAGTTCTTGTCCTAACTCGCATCAGATGAAGGAGGTAGGGGCTCTCTCTGCCACAGGTGTTCTTGCCTCTCTCTTTGCCTCCTTGACCTCCCCTCCCCCCCCCTCCACTTGCCTGGTCCTGTCTTAAGCTGTAGATCTCAACTACAGTGTCACTTCTTTAGAGAGGCCTTCAGCTCTGTGGGGTCACTATCTCATGGACTCGGCAGCTCCCGTGTCTAGGTCAGCTTGGATCACTTGTGTGAAAACCCCTTGCCCTTCCCCAGCATCTCAGAGGAGCCCAGAGTGTTGGGGAATCTCTTTGGTAGAGTTGAGGGGAACTTATGGATCACTTCCCCATGAATCATGGACTAGATACTGTTGGCAAAGTTAGTTAAGATTGATTCGTTTAAGCTGAAAACATGGAAATTTCGATTATTTTCAGTTTAGTTTCCCCCATTCTCTCCAGTACATTTGGCTGACGATGCTGTATCAGCTCTGGTGGAGCAGAGCCCTATGACTTCATGCTGGGAAGAAGGCACGTAAGAAGCATGTGTAAACAGAGCTTGTTTTCCTGCTGTCCCACGGAAGGCAGGAGAAGGCACGTTGAAGCAGCTTAGGGAAGGCTTGCAGGCTGTTCACCTGCAGTTGCCTCAAGAAATATGTCACAGGCCTAAGTGTGCTGTGCTCCAGGAGCTGAAGTGTAAGGTCAGATGTGACATCATGTGGCCCAGAATACAAGGCAGTCATGTGTTGACATGACTATTGGATCTCCCCCTGGTAGAGCTCTGCTCTTGACACCATGTGGAGAGGGGAGGAGTTCAACCTGAGGATTTGACAAAGAGAGACGGATGCTTGAGTAAGGGTGGTCTTGCCAGTGGGACCAGAACCACAGAACCTGTGCTCCAGCTCCCTGGGCTTCTGTATAGCTCATAAGATGGAATACTGCTTCTCCGTGTGGATCCAGTGTCACATCTCCCCTTCTTTGTTTCCCTGGCTGACCCCCTTTCCTTTGGGGGAACCCTACTTTCTTCTTTACACATGTTAATGCCTGTCATGAAGTTAGACCTGAACACCATTCTCTTTCTATAACTTGACCTTGGGGCTTGTCTCTGAAGCCTGGCGTCACCCCAGCATTTATGTCTCCTGGGTGAGGTCTTGGGAAGCGCCTTGGTGAGTGCTAAAGATCTCCCTAGAGAGTTCCCAAAGTGTAATACAGACTTTTACCCTCTGGGAGTTTCTCATAGCCATTTTCCTTTTTCCATAGCAAAAGTGTACACTAAGGTAGCGTGTCCTCTCCCGGCATAGCAGCATGGCAAAGCACAGTGCAGACTGAGGCCAGTATGAGTGGAACATGGCTCTCCATCAGCAGTATCTGTCCCAAACAGGGCCAGCAATTAAGCGGGAGTTTGGGAGTAGCCAAGTTAGATGTAAAAACAAACACAACAAAAATAACACACATTCTTACAGCAAAGTTACTCAAGCAATCGTTCCAAGTTTATTTACTTTCATATTATGTATAATTTTAAGATTGTGACTTCTTCCATATATTAGGTATTTAATAAATACTTGTTGAATGAATGCTAGAGAAACTTGCAACAGAGTTAGGAGAGAGGCTGCTATAATTATATCCATATGTTAAAAAATAGTTTATCATCATATTTTAATAATATCTAACATTTTAGTGCTTGATATGTGCTAGGCACTCTTAGAGCCTTTAGATAATTTAATTTCATCATAATTTTATGCTATATACTGTCATCTTAATTTTTTTTTCAGTTGAGAAAATTGAGGCTGAGAATAACTTATTAGGCTAATTAATTGTTGAAGCCAAAATTCAAAGTTGAGTCTGACCCCAGGACTCTTATTCTATTTTTTTTTTAATTACAGTTTACATTCAACATTATTCTATATTAGTTTCAGGTGTACAGCATAGTGGTTAGACAATATATACTTTACAAAGTGGTCCCCCGACATTTCAAGGACCCACTTGGCCCCATACATAATTAGTACCATATTATTGACTAAATTCCCTATGGTGTAATTTATATCCCTGTGACTGTTCTGTGACTCCCAATTTGTACTTCTTAATCCCTTTACCTTTTTCACCCAGCCCCCGAACCCTCCTTCCCTGTGGCAACTTCAGTCTGTTCTTTGTATCTCTGAGGACTCTCATTCTTAAACACTGACTTATACTACTTCCT